GGTCGGGCTGGCTTCGCCAGGGAACTGGCCTGTGGTGAGGCTGCGCGTCTGCACTCGGGAGCCCCGGGGGTTACCGGTGAGAGGGCGGGCGAGGCCGGTGACCTATCGCTGTGCTGAGAGACGAGGGCTAGACTGAGGGTGCAGCCGGTCGCCTCCCCTCTGCTGGCGGCCCCCAGCTCAGGCGCGGCCCCGCGTGGCTAAGGGGCAGCGCTGTGGTCAAAGACCCGCCACTCCCGCGACAGGGGTCGGCCACGGTGCATGTTGGCGCAAACTGTTCGTGTGGCTGCCGGCAAAATGTGGGGGATTGTGCTGCACAGACTAGAGGCCCCCAGGGAGAGCTGCAGGGCAGTCCTAGTCACCACGGGAGCAGTTGCATGTTCTAAATCGGTTTGAATACAATCTCATAACCATTGTGTTTGACACCATGTAGTCACTGGTGTGTGATGCTGCTTTCTTCTGTTTCAGGGAACATTTTAAATAGAGAAGACTCGGAAATGGCCAATGTGAGTAACTTAGTGATTGACCTCTGCTACCACTAGCTTATAATGTTAGCTGTATCATTAAGCTAAACAGCATTAAGTAGAAAACTTATTTCATTTGTATTGTGGCACTATTAGGGTATCATGAAAGACTCTTCATACCACTCTTATCTGACAAGATTAGATCCAAAGAAGAGCTCTCTATATATACTCAAAATCTTACCTCATCCACCAACAGGAATTAGTCCAGTAAAAAATTTTCATCTCCCCCATCTTGTGTCTCTAAAGTAATATGCAAACTAAAAAAAAATCTGGAGCTCTTTTGTTAATATTTTATATGGCATCAGATTCTCTTTTTTCATGATATCATTGACATTCAGTGCAATTCTCCTGCACATGGTCATAAAAAAGGTTTTATTGTGCACAACTTTTTAATGTAAAAAGTGTTGAATTTTTGACTGATGGAGCGATTTGACTATATGAATGTTTCAGAGCGTTCTGTACATTTATATATTTGTCCCAAGTCATTTGAACACTTATGTATATGCTTCAGTTCCCCATTCTGGGGTCATGTGATAATTTTTGTTGTCAGAAGACTGTCATGGCACAGAGAAGTTTGAGAACCCTTGATACAGTGAATTCTTTTATACAGGATTTCTGGTGACAATGTAAACCTTAAATGTAAAGATCAAGTGATTATAGTGTGTGTACAATAAACAAAGAATATAAATTTGTCGTATTTCCTAAATATATTTCTATATTTATTATGGAGTTTCAAAAATTGCTGGATTTTTTTTTAAATTCTATCTAAATAATCTTGTATAAGTCTTTCACACTAAGTAGCAAATGTATATTTCAGAGGCTGCTTTGGCAGCACAAATGGTAACTGAAGTTCTGATGTTGCTTATTTACTGTGGAAAAAATTGATAAACTGGAATATAAGGCTCTGAGAGCTATTATTTAAGGCAGATTTCAGATAATTGTGTACTGATTATAACAAGTAAAGCATTGAGGTGGAATCAAATTGTGCTACACTGTGGTATCTTATGAACTTAATGGAATTTGGACCCATAACAACTTACTTCTCAATTCTTGGAAATGCTGGTGCATATCAAGTGCTTAAACACAGGTGTATAAATGTCTGCAGGATCCAGCTGTTTGTATTTAGAAAGACAAAGAGGTTGAGATGATATCTTTTATTGGACTAGCTTCTATTGGTGAGAGAGACACAAGACTTTAAGATTCTGAGTTGAAGAGCTCTGTGGAAGTTCAGGAGCTTGTTTCTCTAACCAACAGAAGCCATTCCAATAAAATATATTATAATAACACTGCATACAAGAAGTGTTAACAAAAAAGGAGAGCTGTGTATAATGTACACCAGTCTTTACAATATAAAGGCGTGGTATTCAGGTTGACAGAGTTAGGTCCTAATCCTGCAGATATGCACATGTCTGACTGAGCAGTTCTATTAAAGTCAATAGGACTACTCACATACTTAAAGTTATGTATATTAGATGTGTATAGCAATGGAGCCTTAAGATTTTTGCAAATGTTTCCCCTCAGTTTTAGAAAAGTAGAAAGAAGGCCCAAATACTGTTGTACAAGATGGACCTAAATACTTGAACAAGAAAATGGTTTTGAA